TTTTAAAAACTAGCTGCCATTAGATGTGGACAAGAAAGGCATTAAAGGCATTACTAAAGCACAAGTCTACAATGCCTCATTTTACGAGCTCAGAGCGGGCGGAGTGGTATGAAAGCAAGGGTTTGTTGCTACTTGGCTTGTAAGTCCAACAAGCGTGGTCTTGCTGAAAAAGGAGAGCAATACCTAAAAATCTGAGAGTGTTATTGACAGGCAACTGATGGGTTAAAACAAGGAGTTCAAACCACTCCTTGATGAAGTTAACGATGTCTAGGGCACAAGAAGTGGAATCACAGTAAAGAAAAATGAGGAAGTCGTCAACAAATCTAGAAATGCACATGATTCGGTAGTCACTAAGGTCACCCTTTGTCCCTTCCCTTGTCCTGTGTTCCTCCTATTTTACACGCTACGTCTTTGATTAAGACGGGCTCTAGTAAGGTTTTTGGTACAAGCAACTGCAGAGCATCTTTTCCTGACACAAAATGACATTTTCTATACAACAATCCATTGATTCTTTTGTATTCACGCATGGTCCTACTTTTCTGTTTTGTGGCTGTTTTTCCTTGCTTTTCAAAGAATTTCTGTATGAACTGATCTTTCATTTGCATCTTTGCAAATTCTTGAGGCTTGACCTTCAGTATGTCAATTGTAGGCACTTTAAGCACAGCTAATTGCCTCTGTGCCCTGTCTGACATGATCTTGTAGACACCGCAAAAGACACGACTGGGACAGGTTCTTCACTCCTTATCTTCAGTGCTTTGTTGTCCTCCTTGCATTCCTCATGCTCGTCAGCCTGTCGTCGCACCTGAGTTGCTGTCCTTGCGTGCGTATACTTCCAAAGGGCATCTGGATCACCTACTTTTCTGACATACGCTAAATTGCCCAATATCAAGTCGTATAGAGGTTCTTCAATCCATTTTACGGTAAGCCAACTACTGCAGTAAGGTGTTGAAACCTGTATCTTGGCTTCAAGTAGACTCCTAACTGTGCTGTCAACCAATATAACAGAGTTCATTTTAACTGTAAGTTCGTCGTCTCGCACCAAACTCCTTCTTGCTAAGGCTATGTTTGTACCACTATCTCGAAGAACTGTGACTCCCGTTCCGTGAATCTCACCATAGACATCAGGTAGACCTAGTGTTCCTTCTCCTTGCTTAGGATTGTCTCTATTCTGCGCAAATGTGCTAGCCGCGTTGTCAGGGGCCTTCTCTCTCGACTCTTTTATGGGTAGACCTTCTTTCTTCAGTGGCACTATACACAAGCAACTTGTTCTTGGTTTCGTTGCCTGCAATTTTCTGATCGATGACCTTTCTTCTTGCAATGCTGACAGAAGATCTGTGCCTTGGCGTTGTCGGAACGACAATCCTGATTGATTGATATGTGAGATTTAACGTCCCAAAACCACCATTTCATTATGAGAGACGCAACGACAATCCTTAGCACGGTGATTGATACGGTTACATAAGAAACATCTCAGCACTTTAGGAATAACACCTGTCATTGTTTACTTTGCACTAACTACCATTTGGTGAGGATCTGCCATGGTTTTACTTATTAGAGCCTTGCGCTTCAAGAAATCGGTCAGCACATTCAGCATAATCATCAAGTCACTTCAATGCTCTTTCTTTTAGGAAAACGCCAAGTTCGGGATTAGAACAGGTCAAGAATTGCTTGATCACCATTCTGTCTCGCACTCCTTTATATTCCTTCTCGATATCTGACATTTCCTTCCATCACTCAAAATAGTTTGTTAATCGACAAACGAACTGTTTTCATGTCTCTGCATCTTGGTGTTTACATTTTCTTAATCTTTCCTGGAATCTTTCAGCTGTAAGCCTGAATTGCTGAAGGAGAGCTTTCTTTACCATATCGCAGTCCATTGAATCTGAAGCAGGCATTCTTTTGAACACACTCAAGGCTTCACCTACTAGACATAAACTCAGTGCTGTAGCCCACTCCCCTCTATCCCATCCTTGTCCTACCGCGATTCTCTTGAAGCGGTGCAAATATGCATCCAGATCATCCCTCTAGTCGTCAAAGGGAGCCATAAATTTGGGAGGTCAAATACTCTTTGCACTCGGGACCTCACTTTCCACGGAATTAGATGACCCACTCTCATCATCTCTTACATTAGATGTAACCGTAACTGTACAAGAAGGATCTTTCTCCGCTTCGCATGCTTCGCGAGCGTCTTTTTCCACATGCTCGAACAAAGTAAGCGACTCCTCGCGGCTGAGTCCCAAAACTGTGGCTACACCCAACAATTTCTCGTAATCCATGTTCCTATGAGGCACGAGATCGATAAGATAGGATAATGAACCCTGGCAGGCTCGCTACTATTTTGTCATGGTCTCATAGACGGTCAGCGAGACAGGAACCGCAAGGAACAGGAAAAACTGTTTATGATAATGAAACTCAATAAAAAAACCTAATTAACAAAAGATATGCTAAATGTGCTATAGTAGTTTCCCCACACACTAAAAATATATAAAAGACTAAAATGTCATATTTACAGAGTTCAAGGTGCGCGTTGCCTTGACATAGCTCCGGTGTCGAGTCGTAGGGCTCGTCCCGTCTTCAAAGCTTGTTGCGCCGATGGTCCCGGCGGTAAGCTGCACTGTCGGGTCCCTACGATGTCCGGTCACCCCAGTGTCGGGTCCCCACAGCGGCTGTACCGCTAGTCGTTCTTGGTGCACCATCTACGGAGCATCGCTGCAGACCATCTGGCGCGTGACAGCGGGGTCGGCCGAGCTGGTCGAACTCCTGGCTACGCCCTGCAGCTCACAGGGCGTTGCTGCGAAGGCTGGGGCACTTCCTTCCTAGAAGCTGTGCTCGTGGGGTTCCATAAAACATTGTGCCGCCTCGACCCCTCGTCCGCGCACGTCAGCAATCCAAGACCCCGCGTCTCCGTCTGTCTCAGCCACCTCGTCGCTCGTGCCCTCTCTCCTTCGTCTTCCTCTTTTCTCATTTTTCTTAAATATAGGCGGGCATTATTCGAATTACCCAGGTGTCCCTTCGTTGTCCTCTTCTTCATATCTTGTCATATACTCATGACAAACGTGCACCTAAAGCAAAGTGCACGAGCCTTGAGCATTTTCACCTACATCGAAAATACGACAGAGATTCGATCCCGCTACCCGTGGGTCAGAAATAAAGCACCATAACCACCGGACCATCATGGCAGATATAGTAAAAAAGACGGTTTGGGTAAAATCACTTTGCGCTGCTTTTCATCCAGCTGTAAGGGCGCAAGTTCAACTGATTGAGATATACTGCTGAAAATCACTTTCACACCCTGGCAGAATAATTCCGTTTTCTCTCATAGCCTATGCTCCTTGCTTTCTGGTAACAACTTTCACTTGCAGACGTAGCTCCCGAATACGACAGGTGGGAACGGCAATGCAACAACCCAAGTTAGCATGTAATAATACTTGTAAATTTTGGGTAATATATGTGGCATGTAATAATACTCATAAATTTTGGGTAACATATGTGGCATATAATATGACATATAGTGCCCAGGTTAATCTTTGTGTCAATTGAAAAAGATAATCAACAGTATTCTGCAGTGTCATGTGTGTATTTTCTACATGAAAGATTGCTTGCACAGAGTTTATCTCATTTCTTCTAAAAAGTTAAGGTTATTATGTATATTGTTCTTAATTTTACATGATAACACGTCCACGATCCCCCATGTTTCTTCATTCTGTGTATTTCTGGTTGTGCGTTATGTCGCTAGTTGCAGAAACCGCTCGATGTGCCCTTCCAGTCATGTCAATGTAAAGGGACGAACAGATGAAGCGAATCAATATATATTTAATTCGTCGTATATTTTTTCAGCTTTATGTTCTTAATTCTTGCACTGTTCATCACTCTCCTGAACAATAAAACGTGTGCTCACTACAACTGCCTGCACTATAATTCTCATTATAGACATGCTTTCTCGTATTTCTCATAGACATGCTTTAAGTTTATGACCATCCTCTTTTTAATTATCAACTTAAGGTACTTGATGAGTATTTTAGTAGGCCTTTATAAGGTTGTGATTGGTCTGCACGTTTTCCAGTGATGCATCTTCTCACTAGTCTACACTTCGGAGTGCTTTTAGAAGTTAGAGCTTAGTGAAGATATGTATCAATATATTAACACTCGCATACAAGCGAAGTTCGCTGAATAAGACGAATATCCTGGTGCACGTGCATGCGTGCGTGCATGTGTGTGTGTGTGTGTATGTGTGTGTGTTTAGATGTTAGCAGAATATGCGAAGGTTCAATAGAAATGTTAATCTCTGGCTTGGGCATATCTTAACACATGTTCAAAGAGTTGCACTGTAATATGCTTGAACGTGGCCTATCAGACCTTGGAACTGTGTGGGGCTTTTACCCTTAAAACGAACCTCTGCCTAGCGAAAATTATCGTAGTGTTCGACTACGTCGAGATCTGTTCCTCCAGCGGGTAAAGGTATGACCACCACTGCAGCATTAATAACGTTGCCGAGCCAACTTAACATGCTAGCGGCAGAGATTCCTGCGCAAGATCTCAGAGTGTCAAAGCCTTGACAAACACCGCAACACGTTTTTCCGTATGCAGACATTATTTACAATAAAAGCACCCAGGAAATATTTGTGATAGTAGCACCGCTCGGTTTCTAGCGTAAAGTGTCGAAAAAAAGAAAGGCGGGTAAGTGGTGGAGGGGAAGGCGGGGTGTAGAGCCAGAAATTCTGGGGGGGGGGGGGGGGGTGAACCTCCCCAACCCCTCCTTGTCTACGCCACTGGCATTTGTATATCCGGGATTGACTGTATAATGAAGCCAGTAAAATTAACAATAAGGTAGTTTATAGTCACAAACAAATTCTGTAAATAGAAGGTGTTGCAATAAATGTCACTGGTATGCATAGGTCCACTCAAAATGGGCGAGTGAGCCAACATTACATCTGGAGCATTGTATTGACCTATTTTCTGGTATTAAAGCCAGAAATAGAGACAAAAAAAAAGAAACATACGAGGTCAGCCATGGTCTTGTGCAGCCGGGCAGCTGTCTTCTTTGTTGCCAAGCACATAACAAAGCCATCCATGAACTGTGGGCTCATCGTCACCCGGATCACCTGCACAATATAAATACAGCTGAGCTTGCAAGCATTTCCCAGTACTTCTCATATTCGGAAGTTTGAAGATGTCATTACAACCAAGCCTACTCAGCTTGAAGTTTTAGAAGCCAGAAAAAAAATGTGACAGCAAAGCTACACAAGTTCCAATCGACAAATCAATATTAATGAGAACTAACCGACAACTCAGTTGGTAGCTGCGTTGATAGAGCATCGACCACTGGTGTGTGTTCCCATGCTCCCAGTTCGCTGAACTATATGAATTACTCTATAATGCGAAATACAAGTCGGAAACTTTTTTTTAATGTCACTAAAAAGTCACCCCATGACCTATACACCGGCCCTTGGCATAAACCGTGTGATCGTCTGGCATCAACAGCATCGACATCGCCTCCATGGGCCGACACCCCCAATGCTAGTTATGTTAGTTATGTTAGTTATGTTGGGTTTTGTGGCGCAAGAGCAACTAAGGCCACGCTGCGCCAGACTCATGGTGAGAATACTTACAGCGGACAGGGCTATGACAATGACTCTGAAATGTCCTGATGGCGATGACATATGGGATATGATGAGCGGTGAAGCGTGGCTGTATAAAGGCCTAAAAGGATTGGCTCCGTAAACGCGTAAGGTATATATCTCTTCTAAGATTATGTGTGTGATGCTCGGGGTGGTCAATGTGTATGGTTGGTGCATGAGGTTATGTTAAACCGTAATGGCTTTTACATAGCACTAATGCCATACCCGTGTCCTTATTATACCTAAGGGCTGGGAGGCAAGTGCCTCCTTGTAAATTCCAGCTGCAGCAGATGCCTCTCTGAAGAGGCTGTGCTACGAGTCACATCAGTCAAGTTTTGCCATGTCTAGCGGTAGCATAGTTTAGTGTAGTTAGACCTTGTTCAGAAGCTTGTGCTTCATTTAAAAAGCTGATCACATCAACTATGGGTATTAGGGCGTCATCGCCCAAGAGTAGCATTGGATGAAAGGGAATATTTAACCTGTATAACATACGGAAATGTTTTTCTCTTAATGTTTCTATATGTGGGCAAGCTATTAAAATGTGCATTACAGTTAGTTGCTCTTGACACTTATCGCATGTTTGGGCTTCTTCGCCTGCCAATAGATGGTTATGTGTGATGTGCGTACGACCTATTCGTAGTCGACATATAACTACTTCGATAAAACGTGCTTGATGAAGACAGGTCTTCCATTCACCAAGAACAGGTTTAATTAGGTGAAGTTTGTTGTTTTGTTCTGATTTCCATTCCTGCTGCCAGTGAAAGGTGGTGGCCCGGCGAACAGCTTGAATCCCATCTCTGGCAGGTATGTTGGTTTTTGACTCGCGCATTTCTTTTGCTGTTGCAGCTAGTTGGTCTGCCCTTTCATTGCCTGGGATCCCGACATGACTCGGGACCCAACAGAGGCGTATGGTGTGGTCATCAGGTGTGTGGGATAGCATGTTTAAAATATCGCCTATGAATGGCTCATACTGAGATTTATAATTGAGACTTTTCAGCGCGCTTGACGAGTCTGTAAATATTACAGCTTTTTTATGTTTTGAGCTTATGATGTATCGTACTGCCATCCATAACGCATAGCACTCAGCCGTGTAGTTGGATACGACCTGTGGTAGTCTAGTTATTTGCTCGTGTGTTGCTCCTACCACGCTGCATCCGACATAAGCAAATGTCTTCGAACCATCAGTATAAAATTCTTCATAAGTGTTGTATATTTGTTGTAATGTAAGGAATTCTTGTAGTATATGTTCCCGTGGGGTGTTTTTGTTTTTTTATATGTGTGAGTGAAAAATCTAAGAATTTAGAGAAATCACTCCATGGGGCCAAACTGGGTGGCCTTCTGGCGATGGAGAGTGCTTCATTAGGAACATTTAGGGCATGAAATTTTTCTTTAAATCTTAGTATTAGTGGCTTAATTACGTTTGGTTCGTTGGCATAGTGTTGTCGTAGGTCACAGCGTGTGACAATACTGTGGCATATATGATCTGGTGAAGAACCAACTCTAAGGACATACGTGAGCATTAGTTTCGTTCTCCTATATTCCAAGGATGGTTCATTACTTTGGGCGTAAAAGTTCTAATTAGGTGAGGTTCGATAGGTACCTGTTGCGAGGCGTAACCCTTTGTTATGGACAGGGTCTAGGCGCTTAAGGTACGAGTCTCTTGCTAAACCGTAGATTATACTACCGTAGTCTAATTTGCTGCGTACTAAAGAGCGGTAGATGAGCAGGAGGCCCTTACGGTCGGAACCCCAGTGCTTTCGGGACAACACTTTGAGGACATTGAGGGCGCTGTTGGATTTCAACTTGAGATTATCAATGTGTGGAAAAAAATTGAGCTTCTTATCAAATACGACCCCCAGAAACTTCTGTTGTTGTTTTATTGGCAATACTGTTTCGTTTATTTTGAGTACGGGGTCTGGTTGTAAGCCTCGTTTCTGGGAGAACGCTACAGCAACCGTCTTTTCCTCAGAAAACAGGAAGCCGTTTTAGTTAGCCCATTGTGTTAGCTTGTTTAGTGCTATTTGAATCTGTCGCTCGCACGTCGCCATGTTAGATGACCGGCACAGTTATTTGGAGATCATCCACATATAGTGAGTGCATAAGAGTAGATGGTATGACCTGGCTCACAGAGTTCATTTTGACGACAAAGAGAGTTTTACTTAAGACACAGCCCTGAGGCACACCGCTCTCTTGAGTAAAAGTTTCTGAAAGTGTGGTACCCAAACGAACCTGAAAAGTTCGGTGATAAAAAGTCGGAGAAGCAGTTGAGCATTCTTCCGCGAATTCCAAGATCTGCCAGGTCTCGTAAGATACCGTGCTTCCACGTTGTGTCATATGCCTTTTTAAGATCAAAAAATACTGCTAAGCAGTGCTGCTTGTACAGGAACGCTTCTCGTACTGTATGTTCAAGGCGAACGAGGTGATCGGTGGTGGAACATCCTTCCTTGTAACTACATTGGTGGACATCTATCAAGTTATCGGTTTCTAGGATGTATGTTAGCCTAATATTAATAACGCTTTCGTAGGATTTTGCCATACAACTTGTAAGTGCTATGGGCCTGTAGCTTGTTGGTAATGTAGGGTTTTTTCCAGCTTTGAGAAATGGAACTATAATGGCTTTTTTCCACTCTGTTGGCATTCTGCCAGTGATCCAAATAGTGTTAAAGAAGTGCACCAATGCCTTCACCGCTTCCTGGGACAAATGGGCGAGCATTTGCTAATGTATTTTGTCTGGGCCAGGTGCTGTTTCTTTACCTTGAGAAAGCACTCTGTTAATTTCCTGCAGGGTTAAGGGGGAGTTGTATGATCTGTTGTGATAACCTGTAATAGGAAGCTTTTGTTTTTCTGTAGATTGTTTATGCTTTAGGAAAGCCGCCGAATAGTTTGCTGCGCACGAAATAGCACAAAAGTGCTGCGCTAGTAGGTCTGCCTGTTCGCCTAAAGTTGTCTGGATGCCAGGGGTTGAGAGAATGGGGATGGTATATGAACTGTAGTTGCCGTTCAACTTGTGCACCTGATCCCACATTCTTTTAGATGTGATGGAACTGTTAATGGATGAAATGTACTTTTTCCACGAGAGTTTTTCAGCCTGCCTACGAATAAATCTTGCCGTTGCTCTCGCCTTTTTAAATGCTAGGAAGTTCTCTCCTATAGGATATTTACGAAAAATGCCCCACTCCTTGTGTTGCATTTTTTTAGCTTGTGTGCACTCTTTTGTCCACCAGGGTTTAAGTTTTTCTTTATAATGCCGGAGGATTGTGGTATAGTTTGTTCGGCTGCCGCAAGTATGCAGGCGGTGACTGTTTCGTTCATTTCCTCTATGCTTAGGTCATCAAGCATCTCTTTTTCTAGGGCAGCTTTTTCAGTGAACAGTGGCCAGTCTGCCAGATGTAGTTTCCAACGCGGTGGTCGGGATTGAGTGGCGGGGAGGGTTTGTGTTAATTTTATGAGAGCAGGCATATGGTCACTGCCGTAGACATTATCTATCACGCTCCACTTTAGGTCGCAAAAGAGCGAAGGTGAGCACAGCGCTAGATCTAAGCAGCTAGTGGCTCCTGTGCTTGGGGAGCAGTAGGTGACGCTACCAGTATTTAAAAGACATACGCCATTGTTCAGAATAAAATCTTCGAGGGTTTGTCCTCTGGTGTCAGTTGCACTGCTTCCCCAAAGCATTCCGTGCGCGTTAAAATCCCCTGCAATAACAAACGGTTCAGGCAGTTGGTCCAAAATATGCTCTATATTTTTAGTTGAAAAATGCGTGTGTGGGGGGATATAAATGCAACATATGGTGATAGTTTTGTGAGCTAAAATGGTGACGGCCACGGCCTCGATGTGACTGTTGATGGTGATCTCTCTCACTGCAATTCCACTTTTGACAACAATAGCCACGCCGCTAGACAACCGGCTAGCGTGGACGCGATCGCGCCGTACTACGGTAAAACCTTTGAAGAAGTTGGTGTGTTTTTCTCCCAGATTGGTCTCCTGTAAGCACATAGCCATTGGAGCGAAAATCAAATCTTTTATGTCACCAAATCACTTAGCAAATGTCACTTAGCAAATCTTTCATGTCACCTATGTTGTGAATGAGTCCTCTACAATTCCAATGGAGAAGAAAAGCCATTTTGGGCACTGAACTTGAGCGGAAAAGTGGAGTAAGAATTGATTTGTTGGCGATAAAACCTTGGTGACGTGTGTGATACTAAAGTCAAAACAGAATGGTACCATAACCTTTCAGGTTATGGAAAACGAAACTTATTTTACAGGGCTTTTTGGAGGCCCTGTAATTTGTGTTTTGTCTTTTTTGGAGCGGTCGAGAGAAACTCGCCGCTCCTTCGGCGCTGCAGGCGCGGTTTGACTGGCGGTTGTGTCCATAGCTTCATGAGAAGCTGCCGAGCGATCCCTGGGTGTTGTAGACTTCGGCTCAAGATACGAAGCCTTCGAACCCTCTACACCGGACGTCGACGGGGCTCCCGCAGTCTGCCCGT